ATGGATGGATGGATGGATGGATGGATGGATGGATGGATGGATGGATGGATGGATGGATGGATGGATGGATGGATGGATGGATGATTGATGATTGAAGAAAATGGATGTCTTACCTCAGTGAGTCTGCAGCAGGTGTCCATGTAGTCGTCCAGGCTGTCCCTGGTGTCCGTCCTCCTCATGGTCTCAGTCTCTTGCTCCTGTTCTGGTCTGTCCTCATATTTGGTCATTAATGGTTTCTCTTCATCATGTGAGGAGCTCATCTCCTCACATTGTTCTAGTTGGTCCCTAGAAACCTCAGAGTCGAATCCTGAAGCCTCACCCTGGCCTGTTTGTTCTCCTATGTACAGTTTTACCGTTGGAGCTGATGGTTCAAATCTGTCTCTGCCATTGAACACATTGTCTCGGGGCCCAACTGCTGTATTTAATGTTGTATCTAAGTGTTTTGCCTGCTTATTGTCAGAGTTCTGGTTACTGATAACTAATTCATTAGAGGAAGAGTCCAAGTTACAGGAATCACAGGAGGACTCTCGACTGTGGATCTCAAAGCTCTTTTCTGAGCCTGTTGGGGTGGACAGAGAGTTAGCTCCACTGGGCAGTTCCACTCCAGAGTCCTCCGATTCAAACTTGTACAACCGGGAGAGCCGAGAGTCTGAGAAAATGGCAGATAGGGATTTAGAGGCGGGCTTGTCTTGGAGCGAGGAGTTTACCTCTGAGGTCTTGGTCAGGTCAAGAGTGTCCTGCTCAGAAGCTACTGCTGTGGAGACGCTGGACCCAGGGTCTTCTGCTATCAGTGGCTTTTCATTGAAGTTGCTGATGAGTTTCAGTTTCGTCAGAACAACATCACTGTCCAGGACTGCATTCCTACCTCCTTTACCTGTTAAGGAGAACAGAGCAGTTCTCTAACTTGGTCCAGTTTAACAGATTGTCCAATTAGTTATTTAAAGCGACCAAAAACATCCAAAACTTGCAACAACAAAACACATCAGTTTGATTAATTTTGCATCTCGTACTCCTGGTACAAAATGACAACACTGTATGGCAGTCATCCCAAGTTCCAAAAACTTATTTCAGGAAGATGCTGAATCCCCCCCTAGCACCGTGCCCCATACATACACAATTAAGGCCAGCAACCTTTCAACAACAACAGTTTATTAACTAAAAGTCATTAGTAAAAGTCAAAGTCAGAACATGATGTAATAACGTAAAATCAAGGGCCCAATGTAAAAAAAAAAGGCGTTCCCCTTTAGGATAGGATCCCAGTTTTCATGCTCTAATTTTTACAGATGAATTTAACAGTTTTTCTTGGGTTCTAATTCAAATTTTATAGAAAACGATAGTTTTACCTTAAATTAAGTCAAAAAAATGTAAAATTAATAAATTATAAATGTATATTGACCTCATAAAAATTGAATTTTTATTTAACCTAATTGAAAAGAAATGTCACTTCATGCAGCTCTCTTGATATATTTGAATCTCTTGCCCTGTCTTTCATTTCATACTTTTCTGGGCCCCCATGAAAACATGCTGCCCCCCTCCTGGCCCCCTGATACATTTGGTCTAGATTCGCCACTGTTCCTCACCTTCACTAAATATGGATATACTTCAGTATATTCTGCTGTAAAATTAGTCCTATATTTTCGTTTTTTTACTCGAGGATTCAACCTCTGCCATTTCACAGGATGCACAGCTTTGAGTGGTAACTAGGTGACTGTCAGAGAGTAACCCAAAACTTATCGGACTGATCCAATCAGCTCTCTGACAACCAGTCTCCTGGAACGCTGGTTGAACAGCGCATCGCTTTGGACAGATACGCTGCACAGGTTTCACAAGCAACATGCTCCCCACAGCCCCCTCTCGCTTGTTGTCTGCGCAATCAAAGTAGTTCTAATCCACACATGGTGCACGAATTATTGTACTGCCTTTTTGCTCTCACTCGCATTAAAAAACACCACTTCCCATAGTCTAAAATCCGGGATAATTTATCCAACTCACGGGCATCCGTGAAAGACTATCTATATCATGGAGACTCCCAGAACTTCCGGGAGACTTGAGATGTCTGGTATGGCCAGAGAAATGTATCTTGAACAGAAGAGGCAAGGCCTAAGGTCCCCACTAAAGGGATTTTCTGGAAGTCCCAAGGTAAGTCCCAAATCTTTAATTAGTCATAACAAAGCCTTTGACCAAACACTGAATGGAAATAATCAAATACCAATATCGTTTTTCTACAAAGAGTAATTACAAAACATTTTAACTTTATTGTTTGCAACCAACAAAAGAAACTGAACATCAGAAAATCTGTGATGAAATAGTTTCACACCATCTAACCAGGGACGACTTGCTAGGTTTTGACTAGCACCTTTTACACCATTCCCATCTCTCAACGTGAGGTTTACCTGGTCAACTACTTGCTGCCACACCCTAAAGATCTGGAACCCCTATTAGCATCCTGAGCTGTTATCCTGATCATGCCTCAGGAGTTTTTTCCCTCCACACTTCTCCATCCTGGACCAAAAATGTTCTAGTTCAATGCTGGTGAAGATTATCAGTCATCCAGGTCATAGTCATTCCAAAAAAGTTTAAAAACAATCCACTGGACTTTATTTCCAAGTTTAAAGACGTTTCGCTTCCCATCCAGGGGACTTTTTCCTTTCAAAATGTCAGGAAATGTGTTTAGTTCGAGGCTATATACTGTGGCTCAACAAGGCCTTGTTTTTGTATAGAAAGTATGCAAATTGAAACACTTTGTCATTTTTTACTTATTTCTAGATCATTTTTGCAGTGCATCACTGAGAGATTTGCCCACAATCACCTTAGGATGGATGACTGAATTTTTATACATGTTGGATTTTCTCCCAACCTTACGATTCCTGATGGGGAGGAGGTCGTGAGAGGCTGTTCCCCCTTGTACACTACACGACGAAACATCAGGCTAAAAGGGTAAAAAATTGTACAGTGTATTGTTGAAGACGGTTCTAGCAGAACCGGACCTAAAATACAAGTTGTCCTTCAATCAGGTTAAAGGTTTGTTTGGCCAGAACGTGTTATTTATCTTGAAATTTTTCTTTCCTGGGGTTGATTTAAAAAGCCTTTAGGAGTCTGCAGATTGTCAATTTACCGACCTCCTCAACCCGTTTCTGGTACAGTTCTTTGAAGGAAGATTCTGACTCTTTCTCAGGCTGGTGAAGAAACTTGGTATATTTAAAGCTAAAGTCGGAGTTCTCTGGTGAGCAGGTCAAAAACATGTACCGCGCCTAAAAACAAACCAAGATTCAGTTGGTGCTGAGATCCACTCGCACGACGTTTCAGGATGAGTCTGTTCCTGCAGAGCTGCTGGGAGGAGAGCAGGTTGCATTTAATTACACGCTGAAGTCAGCCTGTGTGTAATCAGACTGTTGTGACACAATCCTGACGTGTCCTCCCTACGTTCTGTTCATGCTACCTGCTCCTGCTGTGCAGGTGTTCCCCTGATCTGCTCATCCTTTACTAACATCACAAACAGATCTTCTGTCCTGTAATTGTCAGCCCGCTGACTCAGCCTGTTTTCAGTCTGTATTCTTGTTCTGAAGTCAGCAACGTGTGATTAGAGATGCTCATCCTGAGGCCTGGATCCAGACTGAGAACGTCCATCTGCCACCTTTCATCAGAGTCGCTCAACCTTCCAGACCTGCTGTCTTCTTCTGATGCCTTTGGTCTCAGCTGCATGGAGAAACACTGAGAGTCTGGAAACATCTTCTCAGTCTGGATCTCATGGAGCATCAGTCTGACATGGAGAAGATCCACTGGCTATTCATGAGCCCCTGGGGGGTGACCTCGCCCCATTGGGACAACCTGAGCTCAGAAAACCAGCAGTGGTGAAGGAGGGGTAAGTGTCTCATTATCAGACTTTTGATTGGTCAAAGCTACATCCTCTCTACGCTATGCATATTTCCTGTTTGGTACCTTACCGGCTTGTTTTGTTTGTATGACCACCATTATGGAAAACGATTCGTGAAGATGGACGAGCTAGAAGAGCGAGGTGCGTGAGAACGCTGGGACCCTTTTTCCACCTGGATCACCGTTCTTATATGCCCTCATGTCCCTCCGTTGTCGCACCAACTTGCCGCCACTTCCTCACCGCCTCGGCCGTATCTAGACCCACAGCTAGTTTCTGATTGGCCCTCTGGCGTTGTGGCGTGGAATAACATAGCGCAGACCACGCTTCAATATTGGGCATAAAACAAAAATATCTTCAGACAAGCTCACTGCGACACACTGCTGCAGGAGGATAACCAGGCCTTTAGCCCTAAACCTAACCGTTAGAAAAACAGCTTGAGGGACAGCAGCAAAATGTCCTCTTTACAACAACTGGTCCTCAATGTGATGGTGTAATTGGAAAAGTGGTCCTCACTCTGTGGGCTAGAACGGTACCCAACACACACACACACACACACACACACACACACACACACACACACACACACACACACACACACACAC